AAAAAAATTACAAAAACCATCCTCAGATTGAACATCACTTACATTATTTACCTACAACTAGTGGCGCTCACCGGCATTGCTGACACATCCCTCAACTTTTTGGAATATCAGATAAACCCAATTTTTTCATTTTGCTTTATATGTTTGATCCCTCATTTTTTCTGAAGATTACAGATATTATACCAAATGTGGGGATCATTAGTAATAATTTTGTAAGTTGAGGGGTTTAGTTGTAATACACTTAATGATGTCAGCTTATTCTGTTAGGTCAACTATCGCGTGAGCAAAACGCACGATGGTAGTTAAAAACACAAGTCAAGGACTGTCTTTGTAATTTCAAAGCTGGGTTCTTTCGTAAATACACCTAAACCGTGTGTAGGTTTGGCAAATTTTCCAAAAATATAAACAAAAGATCATAGATGAATCTCATACTCTCAGATGCTCTAAGAGCCGCTGCTGTATCCGTAGAGAATAGTGGGTTCCCTGTGCCAGCCCCAATACCACCAAAAATAACTACTCTTCCTTTCTCGAGATGCCGAATGGCCCGTTGCCTACTGTAAGGTTCAGCAACCTCCGGCATGGAAAACGCACTCTGTACACGTGCCTGCACGCCCAATTTCTCCAGAGCTGACTGTAGCAGTACAGAGTTCATCACTGTCGCCATCATTCTGGTTACAAGTAGAGCATCAGTCCTCAAATCAGCATATATGATAAGACATGTTTCTCGTACATACTAGAAGTATCACGAAATTTGAACCAGTAATGACTGAAAAAATCTTTATCGTCATTTACTGAAAGGATGAATTGAATCCGAAATAAACAGGATTTCTCATTGATGCCTCTTATCGCCCTCAAAGTAACAGAAGGAAGTGTTATGTGAAGTTTTAGTAACTCACAAAATTTTAACACTGTTTTTTCCCACCAACATGATACGGGAATAGAGTTTTCATTTCTTATTTGAAAAAAAAAAAATCTAGGTTAACCAAGAGCTGTGGACCTAACAACATAAGTGAAGATCACTAATAACTTTTCTTCCCTCCAAGTGATACTTGTGGAGGAATGCACCTGTACACCCTTCATAAAGTCACGACATAGGGCTGGAAACGGACCGAGCAGCTCGCGAGCCACTCGCAAGCGCTTGAGTCAAAGCTCCACTCGAGCCCATATTTTGCATTGCCGAGTGGCTCGAGATACACCTTAAATTACTAAAATACCCTTTATATTAGCCGAACTCGAGCTGAGCTCGAGCATTTTGATTTCAAGTCGAGTCGAGCTCGAGCTAAGCTCGAACTATTATAATTTTTTATCGAGTCGAACTCGACGAGCTCGAGCTATTATAATTTTTTCTCGACCTCGAGTTCGAGCAGCTAAAAAAAAATCAATCATGCTCGATAAGGCCGATGCTCGTCTCGGCTCGGCTCGTTTGCAGCCCTAGTCATGACTTCATCAAATTATCAGATTCAAAACTCCAGTTGATTGTTCAGTCCCCAGATAGGTCACCGTCATCCAACGAGAGAAAAACAGAAATAAAAGAAAACGAACAACAGATGATAATGCTCCAAATATAGTGTAAAACAGAGGCCAACTTCATAATGAGAAACACACCCAATCTGATATGCAGTACATCTATCAAAACCAGTTGACGTAACCCACGTGTCTCCACAGAAAAAGTTGCGGCCACCAACAACTATAGCCACCTGAGGCAATTAAGGGGGATGCCAATGGTCATAATAAGGAAGATAATTCATTGCTAAAGATTAACCAATAAAATAGTACCTCAACACCAACACGGCAGGCTACTGAAACTTCCCTTGCAATCAACATGGCCACCTGTGATTAGTAAAAGATTATAAATCCAATATAGAAAAATGAATGTAGAAACCATAACAAAGTTAGTTTGTCTCGATTTAAATACAAGAGAGCACAGCAAGATCGCACAGATAATAAGTGGAGGTCTTAAGACTTGCTTATTGTTATACATGAATCGACTGTCAAAATTCGAGTTAATTGGGCTTGACTCGACTGCTGAGAAATATATATATATATATATATATATATATATATATATAGCGAATTTAACTGCAAAACCTTTGGATCAATGTTGTTAGGAGTAGTTCCAGACAGAGCACCACCGCTAATTTTGAACACAACTCTTCGCCACCTTAGATTTGTGGATGCTTTTTTCACATTCATAACTTGGCCAACTGGATTAGCAACCAAAGTTCCAAGTCTGCTCAAAAAGCAGACCCATCAAAAGAAAACAAAGAAAATAGAAGTCATGAAACATGATCATCTAATTGCAAAACCAAAAGTAAGTACTCAGTTAGATTGTATCTTCGGAAGCTCAACCAGTCACTCACATCATAACCAAATTACACAACTGGGAAACACAATGATCAGCCACATACAACACTGAGCCGCGATAACACAGACGGAATTTTCTTGACAAAATACATGGATAAACCTAAAGCAAGCTAAAAAAAAAAAGACATTTTTTTTATTCGTACTGAATATAGTCTGAGCTGCTGCGATAGGGAAGATGCTATAAAACGAAAAAAAAAAAAAATGAATTTTGGAGATTGGAATCTGGAAAAAATGTTAATGGGATCTCGATCAAGTCCCAATTGAATCCACCAAAGTCACTCATTCTAAAAACCGAATTGTGGAGATTGTACCTCTTAGACTGCCTAGCAGAGTACGACGAACCGCCACCGGACTTCTCCTCCTCCGCGGCGGCCTTTGCGGCGATGGAATTTCCGACGATCTGCTCCATCTGCTTGAACCAAGGCCAGTGACTCACCATAACCCCGCCGCCGTTGCTCAGGCGGTGCCTCTCCAGCTTGTACCGCTTCTTCAGATTGTCCACCTTGTTCTTACACTGCTCCACACTCTTGCTCTGGTTCTCGCACCTCTCACTCACGGTCACCGCCACCTCCTCCCAATCGCGACCCCTCAGATTCCCCCTGTTCAGCTGCACGAACTTCTCGCTGTACGCCTCCAGCAGACACGCGATCGCCGAGTCGCTCCACTCCTCCCTGTCCTTCCGGTAGTCCCCGGCGGAGGGCAGTCTCGTCCTTTTCGACGTGCCGCTGTGGACGTCATCCCGATCGATGGACCGCTTTCCGGACAGGGAGTTCGGATCTGGCTCGGAGTCGAACGGGTCGGAGTCCGGATCGAACGTAGCGATTTCGTACGGCGGCGGATGGGCGCCGGTGGCGGCGGAGGGTTGGGAGGAATTGGGGGTGTGGTGGTGGTCGTCGAGGAGTGAAAAATCGTCGTCACAGGAGGCCATGGACGGCGTCAAGTTGACCGTTGACGGATGAGGGAGACGAATAGACGGACGTGAAAAGAAGGCGTTTGGTCGGAGGGTTGCCGCCGTTAGGGTTACTGGTAGTTGGGCAATTGTAGGAGGGTGGAGAGGGGGAAGGAGACAGGCGTTACATTCGTGACACTGTCCGTTAGGCAGGCACGTGTTCAAGTCTCGCGTGATTGGGACCACTTTACGTTTTGAAATTAAAAATACATTTTATTTGATAGTTAAAATGACTTTTAATAAAATTAGAAGAGTTAATGACTAAAATTTATTTATATAATTGTTGGTAAAAGCAATTAATAAAAAAAAAAAATTCATTTGTCACCAAAAGACAGTTACAAAATTCTTCTTACAATTTGCATTTTGTCACCCACTTAATCTAAATTTTATTTTATTTTTAATCGTTGGCTTGAAATTTTATATCGCAAATTTAGTCCAAGTCGATTTAATTTAATAAAAAAACTAATTTGTTACTTTTGCACTTTTTTTTTATGTTAAGAAAGGTGTAAAGGAATTATACTTTAATATTATTACATTACAAATTTAATTAAATCACAAATAATAATTAAAAAAACTCCGGTTATCTCTTTCAAGGGATAATGTGCAAATGAATTGTAACAAAAAATATACATAAATAATCAATGCATAATATATTAAATACACAGGTCGATGGAGTTCATTTTGTGGCAATTCATGGAGATCACTCGAAGACTTCGGTGGTAGGTCGATGATTTTTACTTAATCTGGATTTGTCAAATTTGTTTTTTTGACCTGAGTAGCAGGTCGATGGAGTTCATTTGGTGCAATTCATGGAAATTATTCGAGGATCTCGGTGCATGTTGATGTTTAATTATTACTTGGTTTGATTTTGTTGAATTTATTTTTTAACCTCAGTGGCAAGTTGATGAGTTAATTACGAATAGCTCGAGCAGGTCGATGATTTTTACTTGGTTTGAATTTGTCAAATTTGTTTTTTGACCTTAGTGGCAGGTTGATGGGCCACTAAGGTAGAACCAGCCTCTCTGTTTCTTGAGGCCGTAACAATAAAAGAATAAAACGAGTATCTAAATCTTGGAGTTTATAGCGGCTAAGATTGATAAAAGCTACTAATATAAGAATAGAGTTAGGGCTGAGCTGGTTAATAGACATATGATACGGTTCGGTATGGGTGAAAAGGTCGGGTCGAATGGGAAACCAGAGGTCACTGAGCACTTGGTCGATGAATAAGGTATAACATCCGAGAGGATGTCGATTGTGCGAGCTACCTAGGAAGAGAGCTTGGAAGACCCAGTCAAGGGAAAGCTCGCACATCCTCATAAATGCTTTTATTTCAGGTTCAAGAAAAAATGGTTAGCTCGGGTTAAAACTACAAAGAAGCTTGATTTATAGGGTTTAGCATGTTGGCCGGCGTCCATGATTAAACGAGCTTGACGAGCACGTAGCTCGGAGTTAGAAAGGGGTACAACCTCAGGTGGATCTTGGGAGACGTCGAAGGTGTGAGTATCTACAATCTGCGTTAAAGTGTCCATGATATGTCCCCAGCAAGCTCGTCGAACTCATTATTTATATGAGCTAGTAAAGTGGTGCTTCAAACTCAGTTATTTATGCTCGTATGTACATTTAAGCCTTAAGGTCATACATTGTATAACCTGTAAGGTTTTTGTTAACTATCTGGTGTAGAATAATAATAATAATATTATTGTTATTATTATTATTATTATTATTATTATTATTATTATTATTATTATTATTATTATTATTATTATTATTATTATTATTATTATTCGCATTTAACATTTATTTATATTTAGTGACTTGGTGGACAAGATAGGTTTTAGGGTTTGGGCCTTATTTAAAGACATCTCTTCTTTGTTATTCAGTGATGAATTTGATAATAAGAATTGATTGAGTTTTACGAGAGAGAATCCCGTTTACTCGTATTGTATCTTTTCTCTTTTGTTTACGCTTCCCTACATCAGTCGGTATCAGAAGTCAGCACGATTCAAGATGCCGCCACGTAAGGACGACATCGACGGGCGTGACGCCACCATTGAGTATCCGGGTCGACAAGCCACGGGCTTCGTCCGCCAGATCAATCAATTGGATCGTCGGGTTGAGGATCTTTCGACGGGGATCGAAGAAGTGCGTCTTACGATCAACAACTTGGTTGAGGATTTGCAGACGAACCGTTACGCCGGCAACCGGGGCGTTCGCGGAGGAGTTCACGGAGGACGTGGAGGCCGTGGTCCAGGCGGGGCGCCCCCCGAAGATCTCCACAACCACCGTCCGGCGACGAAGACGGCGAGGATACCATCTCGGAGGTGAATCCCTTCAGCGAGTGGCAACCTCCGCACGTCAAAGCTGACCCCTTCGCTACATACGGCGGCCGTGACATGTGGCGACGGGGCCCGGTCTTCGTGGACGGCGACGATCAATGCAGCGATAGGGGCTGGCACGAGGAGGCAGCCTTCGCTGGCGGATATCGTGCCTGTTCGCCTATATATTTAAAGCTCGACCGCAAGTGTACGACTTCACTCGTAGTATGTGGCAAGCAAGGTCGTATCCCAAGAGACCAAATAATCAATATAGCAAATACTAGATTATGATAGTGTCAACTTTATTTAGACGACCGAATATGAGTTTGATTAACTAAACTAATAAAATAATTCAAAAGATAAGAAATCAATAACAAGAAAACAATTAGAAAAACACTTAAAAAGAATATAAGGGAATGGTAGATTCTAAGACTATGGGTTCAATTAACAGTTGGGTTCCTTCAAATATATCACAACTAACTATTTTCTTTATCTACCCTATAAGATGATCACAAAATTAGCCTATCGTCCCTCTCGAGATCGATAAAACCGTAGATTAAATCACATATATTAGCGTCTCCACTCAATACATGCAATTCAACTCCAAAAAGATTAAAAGACCCAAAATCCTCGCAATTATCTACTAATCTCTCGATTCAAGCAAATAAATTGTGTCAAATATTAAAGATCTAATATTGAACTCATCTCTCGAATTATGAACAATATCATCAAACATGTAAAAGC